GTAGAGTTCCACAGCGTGGCCGATCCTTTGCTTCACCTTCTCTTCGCTGCTCGCAACGATGCGCGGCGACTGCAGTACTTGCACGGTAAAGCTGGACACACTACCATTTCGTGTTGGCTCGCATGAGTAGATGCCCGCATCAGCAAAATGTGTATCGGCCACAAATAATGTACTTTCGTAACTACGTTTCGTTTCTTCTTCGATTTCATTGATGCTTTCAATGGCAGACGGCTTGGTGAATGTGGAGGTTACCCTGGATCAAAAAATAAAAAATAGTAATCAGTTTTATTAGAAAAAGGAAAATGCTAAGATGTCATACAATTTGTATAGAAGTGATCTTCCAATGAGAGTTCGACTATAATTAATTAACGCTTACATCATGCCCCTAATTAACAACTAATTGGCCAATCCAATCCAAGTTTTAGGTGTACATATGTATGCGTGTGTGTTTATTCGTTATATGTATCATGATATGTATATCCGTATGAGCGTAAATAAATAAATAAATATATTTACGTCTGTACAGAGCCATGTAATTATGCATATACAAGCAACAAAGCATTATAACATTATCAATACAATAATATTTATTGATTTTTTATTAAAGTCGAAAAATATTTACCTTTTATTGTTATTCGCAATAACTTCTTCGTTGTGTTTCCATGTGACATTGCTTACAAACTGTTGTGTTGTATTACAGATAATTGTAAAATTATGGCCAATCTCAACGGCTATCAGTGCTGAAAGTGAAAAACAGATAAAATAGAGTTAAAAAACTACAAAAGAAAAAAATTTTGTATTTCGAGGATCAGTGGTTAAAGAAAAACGTATGTATTATTACATCTACTTTATAGTGTATCCACCCTCAACAAGTGTTTAAGCCAAATTTATGTCTTTGTTGTCGACAAAGAAAATAATATGGTTTTTAATAGTTACTTATTTATATCAGAAACGTATTACTACTAATGATATTAGCTGATTATTTTATATTATTTTGATATCCGCCGGAAGTCTGGGAATTCACACACAAGCCGTACTACCGGGATGGGACGCACTAAGCTGTAGGCGACGTTCTCTATTAACAGGAAAGTTTTCAGTAAGCAGCTTTACTAGGATTTAAACTAAGTGGAATAATTTAATTAAAGTAAGTATATTTTTTTAATGTTCATTTAATCTAAAGGCTACCATATTATTAAGACTATATCTTCTTAAAGGAGTTACGCAAATATATGTGCATAGACACTTTTTCTGTGATGTATGTACATAGTTATTTCTCGGCTGTTCCCGCTTCTCACACCCCTTGAAATGACCAACTGATTGGGCGTCGTCAGCGTACACTCATACCAGAATTTCCTCGCACATTCGCCTCTTTAACAGAAAACTATCACAATATGAAAAATTCTTGATTTTTTCCTGCAATTTATTGGATAAGACACTTTCAATATTTTGATTAAAAATACTTTATTCTTTTTATATACTCAACAAACGAATAGCATTAAGTCATATATAAATATATACATAAGTACACACCACTTCTGTATACTCCACCCCGTTTAATGCGTTTTGGAAAATTTTTCTAGGTATTTTTAGTTGTATCTTTCCAATTTATACTTCCTACCTTGAGATTGTGCTCCTTTTAGCTGTTCATTCATAAGTAAAATCATGCAAATGAGTATTTTTAAAGTCGAAAACAAAAACATCCGTCTCCGGCATAAAATGTAGCGAAAAGTATTCTCCACATTTGTTTGGCTCATTTTTTGTGTCTGTTTTTGTTTTCTGCGGGCAGTCGTTTCACTTATTTAATAAAAACTTAATTCTATTTTCTTATTACAAGCACTATACAAAAATATTTTAAGCGCAACATCACAACTGTAAAATATTCGATATATGCCGGATCCACAAACAAATTTATACTTCCTAATACACAAGGCAGGGTTGTTTGTTCTTGAAATTCCAAAGTTGCTTGTAAATGAAACAAAAATGGAACAGGTATAAATGTGAAACACAGAGAGTTGGGATGGAATATAACGATGAAATTAACTGCAACAATTTAGAAATTTTTCAAATTGTATAAATAAATATAATTTAGTTCATAGTTCAAGATCGAAAAATACGTAAGGGCAATAATAAATAAATTGCCATTTAAAAAAAACTGATAAAACAAAAAAAATTTTAAATAATGCAGATCGAAATTAATTTTGCACCATACGTTGTATTATTTCAATACTGTTTCTTGTCATACATTATTTTATAAATAAATGCATGAAAATTGCTTAATTTAAGTAAATTTAATGAGCTAAAATTAAAAAAAAAAAAATTATATCGATTTTAAACGATGTGGCACTGTATGCTTTATAATGCTACGTTTAGATTGAGATACATCAGGAAACGCCTGCAACCAGTAGAGGTTTCAAATGGTGTAACCCCACGTCTCCATTTTCTACTAAAAGTATTTTAACGTTGTCCCGTTTTCTCATGAGGGGCAACTTGTTGTTAACATGTTTATACGTAAGATATTTGCAAATAAAAATAATTTGCAAATACCTAACTCACTGTTTATTCGATGGTGAAAAATTCTTTCTTAATATTAATTAATATAAAAAGGCAATAATATGACCATCGAAAAAGAAAATAAAGTTAAAAAATGGCAACGTCTTGATTATAAAAAAGGCAATAAGATGACCATCGAAAAAGAAAATAAACCTAAGAATGGCGGCGTCTTGCGCTTATTTGCAAATAGTACCACTAATCAATACTTATTTGCGTGATTTAGTTATTTGCAAAAAAAAAAATTAACTCAGCATTTATACGGAAAAGGTTACCATTATGCAAATGAAAACGTGCGTATAAACGTAGTATATCTTAACATATCACTTTCATAATGGCATAAAGCCAATCGGATCGATCTGTACCCTGTGTAGAAGGTGCAGTAAAATGAAAAATGAGTTGTCAATCTACGAAATGACAGCTGATGTAAAGACAGCGATGGTAATGCTTGGATTATAATGGAAGTAACGGAACGGAGTGAACTGTCACTTAATTATCTATTATATGGGCAATGAATTCAAACGATTATAATGCACTTGAACGCAATGTAAAACGGAAGCATCTAAAATCAATAGATCCTTACGAATTCGCCGCGATTCGTTACGATTCGCCCGTGTGTTATATCCAAGGTATAATAAATTCGGCAAGACAGATATGGTATAACATTTGAAATTTGCCGTCTCCACCTGACATTTCTCTCTTAACACTGCTTTTACACATCATTTTGACATTAGGAAGTACGGCGGCGAAAATCCAAATTCGCAAGTAACACTACCTTGTATAAATTCGCCTTGTATTTTGTTTTTGTTTGTGATAGGTGTGCTGTCATATCAGTAAAAGCAAAAACAAAATACATTTAAGGCGAAGAAATCATATAAATTCGCCTTGCTATTTTAGCAGTCTCAACTAGGGACGTTCCGATACCATGAAAGTATCGATACCTACTCAACTGAGCTTACTCAAATCGCAATTTCGATACTACTTATATGAGTAAGCCGAATGTATCGATACCTACTTATATCGATAATTTTTCATCCCTAGTTCGAAATTTGATTGAGAACTTTTCAAGAACATCCTATTTCACAATTCGGTTCAAAAATGCCTTATCTCAGCTGCCGATTCAAAACGCCCTATCTCAAATATTTTCAATATAATTGCAGTAGAGGTATGGATACATATATTTGTTCATTAGCAACACATTTTGGCGGTTCCATTGCGTAAAGCAATTATTTTTCATAAAATCGAAGCAATTATTTTCCATAGAAAAAATATAGCCGGCAAGATATGGCACTTGCTCAAATCGATTCGATACAAGTACTTTTCTTTCGATACCAAGTAGGTATCGAAACAACGATTCGAGTAAAAAAGTATTTGGTATCGAAACAAAAGTATCGAGTACATACTCGTATTTACTTGTATCGGAACATCCCTAGTCTCAACTACAGCAACGCTCTCCTTCAGCATGATTTGCCAATTGGATATGTCTTGCCGAAATTTCACGACTGTATAAGGGATCATAGAGTCGTACATAGATTTTCCTTTCAACGAGGCACGATTTACAGCGGCGCTGGACAATACGTAACTGCATCCGGGGCGAGAACAATGCGCTTGAATTCCGAACGCTGTACAGGGACATCAAGAATACAGAACTGTATCGATAGAAATATTGATGCACTATAGAAGCATTTTAATCTGATTAGTGCAAAATGCTACATAGTTATCTATTCTGGCTTAATTCAGAAGTGGAATTAAGAGGAAGCCTTCCTCCGACAAAGTCGGAAGAACTATTCCGCGTACAGAAAAGATTCACTCCGATGAAGATATTACAAATTCTGCATAAATGTAGTGCCAATAGGGGAATACCCGATGCGCATGTTGAAATAGACATGAAACTACATACGTTTTTTTCAACTTTTTTAAAATGTAGAATCCACGCACATGGGTAGAAATGGGCAGTTGTATTCATTTAGGTCAAGTCATTTTACCACTTACTACATCGGTGCTAAAGATCACAGTCATTCAAGTCAGTTCGCCCATCAAAAGTTTAGTTTGTTGCTTGGGGTTACCGAAGACACAATTGTTCAGAACCAAAAAGAAGTTAGGCAAAAGCAGGAATTTGGTAAGACCTTAGGTCCATGGCCAGCTTGCCATTTCCAGGGTGCATGACTCCAGCTTATGGCTGTGCTTTGACCACCTATGAATCTGTGTGAGTAGACTTTTATGACGATACAAATATCCTAATATCGCGACCTGTAATGTCCAGGCCGGTTTTGCTGAAGTTTCCTAGTACTTTTTATCTCTTTAAATTTAAAACCCAAGGTAGATCCCCTTCTCACGGTTTTCTGAGACCTCCAGCATTGGAGTGCGTAAATTGGATTCGGTATACATACTCAGCGAAATCTCGTTTTTAGGGGGAACATGCACACATGCATGCACATAAAACGCTCCGCTCTCAAGACTACATTGATTTGTTGCTTCACTACTTTGACCACAGATTTAAAAACACAATACAGCTTTATTTGAATGCTTAGTTAATTTAACGACCAATTACCTTTTAATGCGGTGTTTAGTATCAATTTAATTCAATAAACTAATTCAGAATAGCGCTGCACTTCAGTGTGGAGCTGACCAGTGGATAAGAAAAATGTATTCTTTAAAGATTTTTCTTTTTATTTATATACAAGGGTGTGTATGGAGTTTAAACTGGTGGTAAGCGGACAGTCGATTAGAAAAAAATATATATGTATATATTTTTTTACGTTTGAAATCATTTTTTTACCTATGCTAGCGCTGCGGACGAAGTGCAGGCTTTGATATTGGCGCGTGGTGGCTCTAAAGGTATTCCGAATAAAAATCTGGAAAAGCTTAATGGCACATCTTTACTAGGACGTACAATAACGATATTAAATAGTTCCAATTTATTTGAACACATTTGGGTATCAACGGATTGTGAGTTGATAGCAAGCGAGGCGATTAAATGTAAGTTGAAAAAGAAGAGAAAAAATTAAATTGTGTCTGGTAAATAGCAAAAAAAAAAGTGTCTTAATAAACGTACATATATATATCCATGTTTTTATCATGTATATATATAAAAAAATTTAAATCTTTAACATTTCAGTTGGCGCCTTGGTGCACAAGCGAGATGCCATCTACGCTCGGGATAATACTTCCTCCTTGGAGTCTGTCAAAGAATTTTTAGCTGCCCACGACTCTATTAATAGAGTAGCATTATTTCAATGCACTTCAGTGTTTTTGAAAGAGAACTACGTCTACGAAGCGCTGCAGCAATTTGAGTCTAGGGATTGCGCTTTTGCAGTAACTAGGTACTCTTAAATTTTCTACATAATGCAGTTTTCGATGGACATGGTTAATATGTATGTATGTATACATAATTCCCTGCAATGTTATCCTTTTCACAGATCTCATAAATTACGGTGGAAGTTGCAGGAAAATGGAAATATAGTGCCATTAAATTTCAAGCCAGAATGCAGGCCACGGCGACAAGATTGGCCGGGTGAATTAATTGAAACAGGCATGTTTTACTTTTCCACAAGGCAGTTGGTGATGGAAGAGAATCGTTTTCAAAACGAAAAGTGAGTACAAGTAAAAAGAAATTGCCTTGTTTTTCATATTTCAAGACATTCGCGCCACTATTTTTCACTTTTTCGCAGATGTGGTATAGTTGAAATCGACATCGTTGACTCATTGGAAATTGATACACGCACAGATCTTGTACTGGCCGAATGTCTTATAGCGCAGGGATCACGTATCACAGGCACGACGGCAGCTTGCACAAATCTGCTTTAAAGATTAAATTTTTAAATAAAAATGCAATTGAGCTCATTTGAGTACTATAAAATATTTAAACATATTTTTTATTATTAATATTATCATTATTATTGGTAAGCTTAAATTAATAGTGTATAATAAATAATTTTCATTTTCATGTATCGTCATATATATTTATGTATGTATAGTATGTATGTATGTACGTATCGTATGTATGTATGTATGTATGTAAGAATGTATATATGTTTTATGTAACTATTGTATATATGTATTTACATATTGTATGCGACGTAAATGGGATCAAGCTGATCAGCCAAAAATCCATCACGCAAATGCATTCGTTGTTTTTCGCCACGACTATTGATGGGTACAACGCCTGCAAAATAGATTTTATGTATATTGAAATGCAGTTTGCAGTTATATATTTGTAAATTAATCGAAAAAAGGCGGCAATATAGGCTAGTTAAGTGAAGTCACTTGAGCGATAAATAAACTGATGGGATATGTTGCAAAGCAGAAATATATTAACACCGGACTAGTAAGAGTAAGGTATAAAAACCGATTTTTAATTACCTGGATCGACAACAACAACAACGCCAACAATTAACTGATGTTCTTCCAAAACTGTATTAGTTACTAATGGTACCAAGTCCAATGCTTCAGATTCGTTGCCATCAAGCTCAACCACAACAACCAATAAATTAGTCCATGTGAAAACGGCGCTATGTTGAAAAAAAAAAAATTATTAAACAGTACAGAGTTTTAACGCTGTCTTTGGATCTTACCATTCAGCGATTTTCTTATGACACCTTAGCACCGAATTTTCTATATCGATCGGATGGTAATTCATGCCACGCAGTGTAATTACCTCATCCAAAGCACCTACTACGTAGACAGCATCGTGCAATTCCTGATCATTGACATTGGCCAGCGAGCATGGATCACCGCTAACGCTGGGCGCCTGCGGTCCTGTTGACATAGATGAGAAATTCAAATGCAACTGACTCATTGAGTTAAGTGACTCATTGTCACTGTCACGACTAGCCACACTGGGTGTGGTTTCGTCCAAAATGGAAACCGCTTGCGAACATTCAGTGCGTCGTAAAAAGCCTAAATAGCCAGTGCGTGCATAGACTTCTGTTGTCGCGCCAGTTACTAGCTTGGCGTTGAAATGGTCATTATAGTCAGTTTCATCGCCATAAATGGTGAAATAGCCATTAGCGTTGTGCGGTGATTGAACCTGCAATTGAAACCGAAAAAACGGGTAGTTTGTATACATTAAGGTGCCTCACTCTCCATATAAAAAAACAAATCGGTACTGCTTTTCCATCGGTGTTAATTCATTTATTATATTTTAAGACTTCCGCTGGGCCGACTTGAAAATACGGCCAAATATTGAGTTTTTTAAATATTTTTTCCAAAAAATGACCTCAGATGATAAGCTGAAAAGCTCAGCATAAATTTTTTTTTTAAATTTATCATCGGAATTTCATTTTCCCCGAACCGGTTCACTTTTCACTTTTGGTTTCCATGTATTTATTATGGGCGGATATAAAATTTTCGGGTGAATTTCTTTTCGGCTGAAACTCAGGATAAGGCAGAATGTTATTTTTGGAGGTATTTACCAATCGGTCCAGTACACGTAAATCTTAATCAGCCTTATCATGAGTTTAATTTTCGCCTGAAATTCTTAACTTTTCGCTTCCGTGTATTTACAACGGGCGAATTGGTTTTCGGGCGAACCATTTCTTGCAAATCCATGCCTTACTTTGCTTCAATTACATATGCCAAATTTGAAAGAAGCCGTAGCAAAATATCTCGACCCAAGCGCCACCTAGCGAGACCATTTTTCGTAGCCAAATTTGCCCATAAATAAGTTATATAAAATATTTTTTCGCGCTAGACCTTCCGCTGGAAATGACTATGTATATAATATAATAATTTGGCACAGGTCTTAAAATATAAAACATAAATTTTATAATTCCTGTGGAAAAACTGCAACGTTTTTAGTGAGGCACTCTAATGTACATATGTACATTCATACGAAATTTCCATATTCGATTCTCAGCCTGCAGCACACACACAAACAATTGCTTACCCATATTTCACCCAAATGCGAATCGCCACAGTGCCCTTTCGTCTCCGGATTGGCAATGATTACCTTTACACCTGGCAAAAGTTTTCCCGATTCTATCAGACACAGCGAATTCGGAGCACCGCGTTCCACAAGCGCCACACGATTATTTCGCAACGCGCGCAGATCCACATACACCTGTGCACTCTCCGCCGAGCTGGCACCTTGCACACAAATAGCCGGATTGACACGACAACCGAATGAGGTGGATACGCAACGCGTATTCAAGCCGAGCGCTTGGAAGAGCTTACAAAATTGTTGCGTGAGTTGAACGCGCGGACGCTCTTCAGCTACAACCACACATGTGCGCACACAGCGTAAATCAACGTTACGTTGCTTGAGCATCGGTATTGAATTACTAAGTGCCTTCGTGCATAGCTCGATGACGCCATACGAACAGAAGGTGTCACGCACCCGATAATGCGACAATGTTGATAACCATAAGCTGGGATTTGTCTCGACTTCGTAAGGGGCTATGAGAATCGAATGATGACCGCTGTAGACACCAATTAAGGTCCACATGGCGAAACCGAGACCACAATACGGATCTAGACAGAGAGCAACGTGACGAGAAGGATATAATTCGCAAGCTAATTTTAAGCTTGCGCAGAGACTAGAAAGGGAGCTGCAGGAAAGGGAGAGATAAAATGGATTAGTTAAATAATACTTATGTGAAAAATGTATATAACCAGTATGCTTATCAAAGACGCTACAAAAAAATTTCCACAATTTCCATATCCCTAAGTGATACATTTGCCATTATTATTTTCAACTGCTTACCGATGCGTAATATTCACACCACTTAAGCGACCACAAGTGGATACACTAAAGTCCAAATATGCAGTTGAGTCCAACGGTGCATTTGCAATAGCCATTAATTTGCGCTTAGGATTGTCATCAATATCCAATATGGGTGGCCAAGTTTTCGGATCGATGGAAGCAGCCGCTTCGCGTGATTTCAATAATTTTATTATCGGTTGTATAGAGAGCACAATAACACTTTTAGAGACATCAACAATCATGCGCACAGTTGGCAGAGTCGTAATGAGATTTTGTGGATGTGGTGGTCGTATGGTAATTGGAATAGCAGCCAAATAAAGACACCCATAGAACGCGCATAATAAATCCAAACCGGGTGGAAATATTAAAGCTGTGGGAGAGAGAGAGAGGAAATAATAGGAAGGTTTTATTCAGCGACTGCAAATAAAATTAAATTTTATGAATTGAAATCAAAGCCAATGAAAAAATTTCCATATCATGCTTTCGACGTTATCATTAGAACCATCTTATTGTTTAAAATATAATGGCCTTATTTATAAAAAAAAAAAAAAAACAAAATACATTTAAAGAGCTTTATAAGGCGAGATTTTGATACCAATTTTCGACTTATAACGCGTTTAAAGTCGTCTTATTTTTATATTTTACAAGCAGACCCGGCGAACTTTGTCCCGCATTCCCACGACAGCCGGTTCTACGTACCGGAATGACTCGGGTTTTACCCGACCAAGGGCTGTTGTTTCGGCGATATAACCCCGTTTAGGTCGGCGAAGTACCTCAGAAGTTGCTCGTCCATAGGGCTACATTCACTACGTATTCTTCTACTCAGGACTGGCATCGAGTAAGCCCCAGGGCCAGAAATCTACACCTGCTGTGTATGCCAGAGACGACTACACCACAACTCCACCTCAGTCAAGTGTAATGCCTGCGAGGGGTGGAGTCACCTTAGAGTCTGCTCAGGACTACGAACACATCGACAGTGGACCACATCGTACGTGGCCCCCTGCTGCTCAAACAGAGCAGCCCCACGGCTAACCTCAGCCCACCTAGGCAGCCTCACATAGTCACCACAGCACAACAACAAATAACACCACAGGCCATACCACAGCCACGACAGACCACAGAATACACACAACCGCACCACTACCCACACGCCGCCGCCAACAACTCCTGGTTTCTCCTACAATCTGCACGGTATGTCAGACCAGGATATTCCGTAATGCGACATCAGTCAAGTGCAAGACCTGCCTTGGCTGGTGCCACTTTACGGCATGCTCAGGTCTGCGTACCACGCGAGATTGGATGACGGGGAACTTCGAGGGCCCGTGTTGCGTTGCTCGGTCGCAGACCTCAACTGCGACGCCTCCCGCCACCATCACAGGGCGGCAACCATCACAGCAGCGCACACAGCCAACGGCGGTAAGAACACACACATCCATGCGGTTAGCTGCGGTCCAAGAGACGAAGTTGCCCAGAAATTCAACTCTGTTGAATTGTGCCGGGTACAACGTGCACCGTCGAGATCGCGAGCGAGATATTGGTGGTGGCTTAGCGTTCATCACGCACCACACCGTGCAGTATCGTCTTATCGAAGCAGACATCGACCGCAGGGATACCACCCTAGATTGTCAGGGTATTGCTATCCGGTTAGGCGATGTTGAGCTCGAAATATTTAACATATACATACATGGATATTTTTTTAGTCTATAACCATATTTGGAAAGACTGCAGTTGGTGTCCGAAATAAAAAAAATAAAATCGATATAGCCGTTCTCGAGCTTTGTGAACGGAAAACAACGGCGCTGCCTAGCTGATATATTTTTCGCAGAGATGTTTTTCTTTCTTTTCTCTTACCAATACATATATACTCTATGACCGAAATCCATATATGTATGTAATACTTAATGTGACCAACCGTACTTCTTTCGGAAGAACTGTACTTCTTTTTGAGCCGTTGTACTTCGTACTTCGAAGTACAGTCAAATGTACTTCTTTGCAATGTTTTGTACTACCCAAGGCACATTGAAAAGGTAGTATCAATGGAGCAGCTGATTTGATTTTATTTTCTTTTTTCAAATTATTCGGTCTCTAAAATGTCAAATATTGTTAAGTTCTTCTCACAAAAAATATAAATTGTGATAATCATTTTGCATGCGAAACCTTTTCCCATACAAAACAAGCGCTTGAAAAGCAACGTTTGGAACCTTCGCCTAACTCCGCAGTACAAACTCTGATTACTGGGCCTTGCATATGATGGATCAATGGTTCAAAAAGCAAACAAAATTTACTAAGAAAGAAAGTCGCACCAATTTTTTTCCAAATTTGATTTTTAATCAAAATCAGAACAAATCAGTGCTTGGTAATTTTTTACTTACATACGTAGCTCGCACTATTTTTATTAAAACTACATAAAATATAAACTATTACATAAGACTTCATCGTAATTGTTATTTTTTCGTTTTCTTATTTTGAATGCAATATTGCGATTTAAAAATCGAATTGTAAAGAATATTCTTCCGAGATAAAACCTTTTTATATTTTGGTTCAAATTTAGTTTTAAATTTCTCATCAGATTTTGAAAAAAATAAGGCTTTGTGATTAGCGTATCGCCATTAACATTGACAAATTTTTAATTTAAAATGCAAATCCGCATATCAAGATAAAACCGCGTATGTGAGGTTGCATACATTATATTTTAGAGTAAACACACTCATATTTAAAAATGGTTCTCTTTTTTACAAAGAAATCGCACTTCAGGACGAATGGATAAGGCTTGATCCAAGAGCTTGTGTGAGCAAATCCCATTTTTGGCAAGAAATGTCAGTTACGCGGTTTTTAAAAACGACGATATGCGGTTTTGTACTTCAAACGACAATATGCATGTATACACTTTCTTCATGCGTTCTGAAACCTAGTCGTCAACCCCATTTTCGAAATTATGTAGCCGGCATAATTTTCAAGTCCATAAAATAAAATCTTCTGCTTAAAAAAAAAAAATATCTTTTTTGGTTTTTGTAGCGATCACTTTGTAGAATATATTTTTGGTACACTTGTAGGCTGGTGTGATCTATTATTTAATGGTGCAAATAAAACACTTATTCCACCTTCGTTGCCCAACGTTTCGCTGAAATTTCCAGCATCATCAGGGGCCACTATGTTTATTAAATCCAACAAAGAAATACAACGAAAAAACAAAAGATGTTCAAATGAATAATAAAAGTTGGCATACATGTGTTTGTAAAAACAAAGACAACAATTATGGACTAATACAAAGAACATATACTCACAATAATATTAAACATTTACTTTAAACTTAATATTAATACATATACACATAATCAGTACCACTCT